CTCTTTAACGTCGATGGAAGCGTGGATCTCTGCTACAAAGGTTGGCCCAATTTGTTTTTTCGATCCAAAACTGTTCGGAATGTGCTGAAATGCGTAGTTTTGAGGAAGATTGAGGTGTATGTACGAATACTTCATAAAATACTTCATAAAAACCTTCATAAAATTGAGGTGCGGTTGGGCGGCCGGTCGGCCGGGATGCGCTTGATTGCTGCAGTTTCAGACGAATGTTCAGTTGATCTCGAGCAGCTCGACAAACTGGGCAAAATTATGCACAAATGGGACTGCTCACAGTGCACCTACAAAAACTGGCCAAGCGTTAAGCTTTGCACAATGTGTGGCACACCAAAAGAGTGCGTTTCTTCGAATGTTGGCAGCGACACCACCAGTGACAAAGGTTTTTCCTTTGTTGTGCTCTTTATTTGAATGAAGTTCTGATGATTACCCTTAGTGATGCTCTCCTGAGCTCCCCCCGTACAGTGATAGTGAGCTTGCCATCCGTACGATTGACAGCTTCTCCGTCGTTTCTCTGACTGGGAGCTGCACCATCCGGTGCCGCCTGCTGATGATAGGCCAGGCGTTCATTGTTTTTGCTTCTTTTGTTCTCGTGATTAATGATCCATCACAGTTTGTTTTGTCCCCTGCTTCATCCTTTAGCTCTCTGTTTTGGCACAGCGACTTTTACTTTTTGAGAGAGATCACGCGAAATTATCGCACAAAACCTTCCAGAGCTATTACTTTTGCTGGTGAGAAGTGAAAAATAGCATTTAGATATCCCCCAAGTACACCACGGTATTCGCTGGACCTGCCCGGAATTTTGTTAGCATATTTGTTTGATTACTGAAATATAAATAAAACGAGAAAGTCTTCTCAGTGACAAATAAAGTATTGTTTAGATAGTAACGCCTCTCCAGCATGTTACTCATTATCTGAGGAGGGAACCGAGAGAGGTAGCGAAGGGACGGTCACAGAAGAAAGTACAGTCGAGAAGACGGGCATCGAAGAAATGGCATGTGTAGCTGAGAAGACAGTCATTGAAGGAATGGCATGTGAGGAAGCTGCTGCCGAAAAGACATCCGACGAGGGAATTGCCAGCGAAGAAGGTGCTGCTGGCCAGGGGAAGACCGTCGATGAAAGTGTTGATAAAGGTTGATTGACATTTCTATCTAGCCGCCTGCTTAACTGTTTTTCAACTGTGAAAGGC